GAGCAAGAAAGTCTCAAAGAGAAAGAGAAGGGGCCGGGGTGTTGGCTCAGTAGAATAAGCGCTTCCCTGACAAGCGCAAGGGCCTGAGTTCAATCCCTGCTTCCGCCAAAAAAAAAAAAGAGAGAGAGAGAAAGAGAAGGCAAGGGGAGCTCCCTAAAGATGTGATGGCATCCTAAGAACTACTCTGAGCTCTGTTGGAAACGGAGTCCTGTCCTTATAGTTATCAGATTATAGTCTATGTTTGTGTTATTCTTCTTTATAAGAGCCAGGGATTTTTGTTGGTTAGGAATTTATTATATGGAGGCAGGTACAGTGGCACACACCTGTAACTGAGCTACTAGGGACGTTGAGAGAGGAGGACCACTGGGTCAAGATCAGTCTAGGCAATTAAATGAGATCTCAAAATTAAAATTTTGTCAAGGAACTGGGCTGTGTGTAGTTCAGTGGTTGAACACTTACATAGCATGTTGAAACACTGGATTGAATCCCTAATAGCACTAAAAAAAATTAAATTTAAATTTGAAAAATGAATTTACTAGACTAAGGAATTGCTTCCTATAATTCTATTTCCAGAGTGAAACAAAGTAACTATTAGACAAATACAGTCATATTTTTTATTGAAACTCTTTGGATGTTACTGGTACATATTGATATATTTATGAGTAAATGATATAATGTCTGTCTGAGATTTATTTTTAAGTAATCTAGGGGGAAAAGGTGGTGGGAGACAGGACATGATTGGCAAAATGCTGGTAACTTGAAGGAAGGTTTAATCCTTTGTTCTACTTTTGGATGTGTTTGTTAAATTTTTGTAATAAGAATTTTTAATTTTTTTTTAAAGAAGAAGGAGAAAACATTTAGATTTAAGCCTGTCTTCTTTGAAACCTAACAGCAAGTCTAGTTTTTAATACTGCATTTTGGGAACTCAGTGTGTTTCCTCTACTGTAATTATTTATAGGGGTATGTGTATGCTTGAGGGTGAAGGTGTACCATGATTTATTGTCTGTTTGGAGTGCAAAATGATGAAAATCAGGATTAGGATGGTTCACAGAGTACTGCTTTTACATTCCAAAATTCAGGACCCTTCAGATTTACTTGGCCATGGTAAAGTTCCTCCTGTCCCCAAGCCCCAAATTCTGTAATATCTCCAGGATCTTTTGCCTGGCTCCGGTAGTCTCTAAAAGAAAAAAAAAATTGGGGATTGCTTCCATTTGTAACAAAAGGAAATCTGTTCCTTTTGAAATGGGAGTAACACAGTCAGTGGAGGCTGCAGGGGGGCGTGCACATTTGAACTTTGGCCAACTCCCCGAGACCACTAGTTGCACCGTTTTGTTCCATTCAGCAAAAATAAATTGTGAGGTTGTTGACATTTTTGTCCTCTTTACAATTCATTGTTTATTTTTCCATGACGAAGAATTTTGATGCAATTATCACTGAGCTTTCTGACAAAAAGGAAATAACTGAGGAATTTTGATGAGTTACCCACTTCATTAATCAGAACAAGCATCTCTAGTGACAGGGTTAGAATTACAATGAAGATTAGATAGCAAATTGCTGTTCCACCTAACGTCAATCATCTGCAGTGACAGCAGTGTGATTACACTTCAGGGAAGAGCTTTTCTTGCCAACAGAATGAGGGCAACTCTGGTGCAGGTAATAAATTTAGCAGGGCGAGCTGTCATTTTTTCTCTTGAGTGGAATCCTTAACAACCAAATGATGTCTTGTGGAAGATTTTGAGGGGAGGAAAGCATTTTACTTTAAAGCTTTCACGTTGTAGTATTTTATTTTAAAAATTATTATAGGAACAGTTCATCCTCACAGTGATCTTCTATACTTCGTTTACCTGTATCAAGCCTTAATTATCACTAAGACTGTGATAAAGAGATAGTTGAAGTTAGGGAAATAAGGTAGGACTATTTTGGAAAACCTATCAGAAATAAAAATCTAGCACAGATATAATGAAGTAGGAAAAAATGAAGAAAGGTCAGGCTGGTTCTTGACTAGTTAAAAGTTTAAGTTCTCCTGGCTTGAACAAAATGCATTCTTCTTCTGGCCTCACTATGGTTTTAAATAATTGTTTTTATTTCCTAGAACAAAGGAATAGAGCTCAGAGTATAGAACTGAAAACAAGAAGCATGCCTGAGACCAGTAGGGAGTTCCCTAGTGGGGAGGAAAGAATAGGAAGAATAAATAGATCATGTCTGTGGAAATGTGCCACCTCTCATCTCTCCTGTTAAAAAAAGAAAGAAAAGAAGATTGAGAGTATATTCCTTTCCCATGTGTTTTTTCTTCCAGACAAGTTTATGGTACTCATGTTTACCTGAATAATGTTGGGTGTAAGTCAAGAATAACTAAGCATCTATTCTTGATTTATACTTTTTTTTTTTAAGTTTTAATAGATTGATTTTTTGAGCAGGCCAAAAGAAAAGTTAATTTCAAGAAAGCAGCTGCTCAGTGGTGCTGTCATTTTGCTGGCATTAAAACGTCTTCTGAGAGGCCAGGGAGATAGCGCAGAAGAAAAAGTGCTTTCCTGGCAAGTGCAAGGGCCTGAGTTCAATGCCTGGTTCTTCACAAAAACAAAAACAAAAAGACCCCTTTTTTTAAATTAAGCACTTTGCTGGGCACGGTGGCACACCTGTAATTCCAGTACTTGGGAGGTTCAGGCAGGAGGATTGATGTGAGTTTGAGGCCAGCCTGGGATACATAGTGAGTTCAAGACCAGTCTGAACCACATAGGGAGACCCTGTCTCAAAAGGAAGAGAAAAACCTGAACATTTTACTCCAACAGTCTTTTAAGTGTTTTTGAAGATATATACTGACTACAGAATTTGTAAACTCAGATTTTCCCTTCCTAAATTCAAAGGGAAGTTCCTAACCAAGGTTGTTCTCCAATGCTAAGTCATATTTTTCTTTCATTATAAAAGAATTTGCCCTTTCATTTTAGAGTGGACTAGTTACCATTTACATTAGAATCATCAGGATACCAGAAAGTTCTGTTTTAGCCTCAGGTATATCACTAACGTACTCTTTACAATGCTTTGTAAGTTTAGTCATTAGATCTTTCTCTACTTGAAGTTGTAACATGGTGAGGTAAATCAGAAGAGTATGTACAATTTCTGCTTGTTGGAATTATCTAGGAATCAAAATAGTACAAGCATAAAAAATGAAGGATTGGGACATAGCTTTATCATGGGTCACTTGACTTGGCTTTGATTACCAGAACTGGAAAAAAGAAAAAAAGTACTTTTTTTTTTTTGGCAGAACTGGGGATTGAACTCAGGCCCTTGTGCTTGCCAGGCAAGTACTTATTCTACTGAGCCATCTCCACAGCCCCCCAGAAAGTGCTTTAAACTTTACAGAGAACAGGAATATAAAAATTCAAGGATACTACTAAACATGCTATTATTCTCCAGATGGATTATGTTTATACTGTTGCATCATTAGAAATAACTCAGGCGTTAAAATTAGATATAGCTGTGCATAGTGTATTTCACCAGTCATTTAATAGGAATCTCTTAAATTAATTTGGTAAATAGACATAGGATATTGTCTTTTAACTACAGCACAATAGTAACACCATTTTTATGCTGGATTTTGTGTGGCAGATACACAAATAATGCAAAAAAAAAAAGTATATTCCCTCAACCTGGCAGATATGTGTCTTCTTGTTATGACTAAAGCATATCCTGTATTTAGCAAATCTCTTTCCCTCCTTCCCTCCCCCTCTTCCTTCCTTCTTTCCTTCTTCCTTTTTTTCTTTCAAGAGATCTAAAGTGAAGATCTGAAAAATGTGCCCTCATTTGACATAATAAGGGCTTTTTGAAAGTTTTCTTTGGTTTCTTCCAGTGAGAAATTATAAAGTTTGTCTAAATGGGAATATAACTGATATCCTGTATGGAAAGTAATTTGGCTAAATAGTATGTTTCTAAGAATTCTAGCATATGCTTTCTTGTGTTCTTGGCCTTTTTATTCTCTATCTTCTCTCCTGATAGCCTCTCAACAGTAGAGATTATATCTTAAATGATTTTGTTCAGAGTTATTAGATTCAAGCACAGTGGTACATAGCATAAATTGAATAGTAAAAGCTGTGTATTTGTACAAAGAGGGAAACAACAACTGACCTAAAATCTTTGAAGCTGATGATAGGCATTCGCCGTACTCCCCATGAAGGCATTTCCTATGAGGTTACTTTCTCTGTTAGTCTTCCCACTTTCAGATTTGCCATTCCCATTTACGAGCTTTTTTTTAGGAGTCTCAAACTCTAGCAGAAATCAGTAAACTGATGATTATTATATAGCATCATAAGGGTTTTGACTAATGGAAGCACAGAATGCTCTGGGAACACAGTGAATTGGCCTTTACATTTTGAGAGAGATTTTAATAGAAAGGCTTCCTGAGAGAGCTACTTCAGACAGAAAGGGAACAAAAAAGAAAAACAAGGAAATCAGTAGAAAATTATAGGTAGTTTAAACATGTGGTCTTTCTAGCCTGCTAACAACAGCCCTAGCATAGTCAGTAGGAGCCCAGCTAAAATTGTTCGTTCCCCTTTCCGAGGACATTTAATCCTCCCAGGATCTCACACTTTTATTTGTATAAAGTATCAGTGGTACCAGTAACAATGAATTGAATGGTTGGCATTTTAAGCTCCAAGACAGCCTGGCAGGACTGGCCATGTTGGAAGCAGCCCTGTCATGCCTCTCAAGCCCCTAGTTCATGTTTCAGATGTGACTTACAATTGCAGTTCCTCAGAGGCATGGTGCCCTACATTGAGAATGTATTATTTTAGTTTAAATGGTAACATCCAGAAGACCTCAGCTGTATGACTGGACTATTTCTCACCACCATAATCATAAAGGAATTGTGTTCTCTCTGTTCTCTTCTGTCAAGACTAGTTTCTAGATTTGTTAGAAAAAAAGTGTATGGGGTAATCTGAGATGCCTTTCACCATTAGAAATACTAGGGCTGATTAGTGGTAATTTTCCAAATATTTCTATTACAGTGTCAGAAACGATATTTCTCTGCCTGGCATAGGCTGATTGCTGATCGTAGGATTGAGCTGGGGAAAGCTGGGACCCTGTCCAACTGGAAGCTTCAGCTGAAGGTCCTGCGAGCTTGGAGAGACTACACCAGATCCCAGAAGCTGGAGCAGGCAACTCAGGCCTTGGAAAATGATCTTAGGGAAGAAAACAGGTACCTCTGCTTATACCATGAAAATCCACATAGGGTGTTTATCTAGAGCATCTTCCTCCAGAAGGATCCAGAAATAAACTCGAAAAGTGCTATTCACTGTAATCATCTTATCCTCTTAGAAAATATGGTAATCACAATTTTTACATACATCTCAACTCAGAATTTTTAGCTGAAAATTATAAGCAAACAAAACTAGTTAATTAAAATACACTAATGCATGTGACCTGTAAAGGAAGTGAGTCTCAGGCTTTTCCCCAATGCTATTGTAGTAGCGTTGCACCTAGGACCATCTTGCAATTCAAAAGAGGGAGTTTGTTTTATATGGCAATAATTCTCATTGATAGAAATCGCTGTCGGCACAGAGAATGTTAATTAAGGACACAGGGAACATCCATCTGGGAGGACCAACCTGCCAAGAGTAATTCCTCCCACTCTGCTGTCTTTTGTTCCACATCTTATTTAGAGGTTTCTGACACTTCTGTATCAGTTCCTTCTTGGGCTTGTAACACAACACAAGCTTAAGCATAGACTTTGTCTTTTAAGTGAAGCTTGCTTTCTTCTATCATCTTACAATTAAATAATTTTGTTATTCTTATTCCTGTTTAACTTTACATTCGGTTTTTATTTTTGTTTTCATTTCTTTGGTGGTTACTGGATATTGAATCCAATGCCTCCCACATGCACTATCACTGAGCTGCACCCTCCTACCCCATCAACTTTGTATTCTAGATGGAAAAGAAATCATTTGTTTCCTGAGGGTTCATGGTCGTGGGGGATTATTTGAGGATTCATGCTTGCTTTTCTGCTGGAAGCTCTGTCATCATTCAGGATGTAAAACAGAGTGAGTGGCATGTAGGCATAGGAGGACATGGCACCCCCTAGAGCTGCTCTGTGATGGCATCAGGCCCTGGGGAGGTTACATAGGAGATGGGCACATGCCTCTCTGTCCCCAAAGAACTCATGTGATGTGAGGAAAACAAGACATGGGGGCTGACTTGGGAGGATTGCAAGTTTGAGGCCAGCCTGGGCAACTTAGTGATTTAATGTGACAGAATATTTAGTGTCTAACAAGAAGGGCTGGGGATATAGTTCAGTGGCAGACCCTGGTTTCAATCCTTAGTGAAAGATGGAGGGAGAGAGCCGGGGGGGTGGGGAGAAGAATAGACAGATTAAGAGTGCCAGAAAAAAGCTTTATGAAGAAATAGGGTCTTGATCTGGGTTCTACGTGGTAAGCAGATATGTCTAGGTAGAGATAGGAAAAACGAGAGTAATGGCATGAAATGCAGCCTTGGCTAGAGGCCATCAAGCATGTGGTTGTTAAGTCCATTAACTTCTGAAAGGCTTTAGATGCCAAGACAAGGAGTTTATTCCTTGAAAATAAAGGTAAATCTTAGAGATTTTTTAAGCCAAGAAGGGGGGTGGAAGTTGGGAGGGTGATCTAGTCAATTTCTTTTTCCAATAATTTCTTGGGGAAAAATCTTCAGAATTTCTCTCTAGAATCTCAAGACCTAGTGATTAATACAAAAAATTGGGATGACATCTTATAGAAAGTGAGTGATGGCAGGATATGTTGAACAAAGAAGGTAAACTGAAGATGGCATAAAGTAAACTCCCATGAGTGAGGGCAGAGAGAGTGGAAAGTAAGATTTACATGTTAGAAGAAACTTGTATAGGAAAAATTTGGAAAGTTTAGGATTCCATTCCAGTTAAGCAGTTTAAATATAAAGGCACCAAATAGAGATTTCATAATTTCATTATGTGCCAATTTTTAAAAAAGATCTCAGAACTTTTCGTCTTGTATCTGAATTATTTTCAGGTGCCTATTTTTAAATGTTCAGAATGGTGCTAAATTTTTCTAAACTGCCAGAGTTAGAAAATATTTAACTTATAATAATTCTTTTTACTACAGAATTAAAAACAAAAAATGTCCTAGAGCAGGGAGGCACCTCAGGAATCTGATCCAACACATCATTTTATGACCCAGAAAGAATAGTAAGTGACTCTTAGGGAGTTAGGAGTAGTTTGTCCATGACTAGGATCTTGTCTTTTTTTATTCTGTCAGATTTGTTTCAACACACTATTGTTAAAACAAATAGCATCTAGATCATAGTTCCTTAAGACAGCCATTGTATTCATCTGCATTACAGTTTACTTTAGAATGTAAAAAGCGAGAAAAAAGAGTGGTAATTTTTAAATGGCAGGTCACCCTAGAAACAGGAAAAAGGAGCTGTTCTACAGACTTTCCTTTGTAGAAAGTCCTCCAAATCTCTGGCTCTATACACATTCTCGAAATTATTTCAGCAAATTACATTGGGTGATTTTCTTCAAAGAGAGTTGGGATAATAAATGTGCAGGGAGAAAAAAATCTCAAGGAAGTTATTACTAGCAGAAATACGGGATTGAGGGCTGGAGAGATGGCTCAGTGGTCTAAAGCACCTACTTGGAACAAGCTTGGCAAAGCACAGGGACCGCGGTTCGATCCCCCAGCACCACATGCCAGCCAGCCCCGCCCCCTGGTGGGCTGAGCTGGCCACACACACACAAACACACACACACACACTAAATAAATGTTAAAAAATAAATAAAGAAAAATTAAAAAAAAAAAAAAGAAAAAAATACGGGATTGAGGTTTTCAATGTAGCCATGACCCACTTCACAGTGCTCTTGGGGCTCCTCCCAGGGCCTCAGGAGGCCCAGATACTCAGTTGTGGAACAGTGAGTCTGAGGGAATGAAGTTGCGTGCTTTCTGTAGTTTACCTTGGGTGTTCAAGCATTCTTTCTTGATGAGCTCAAGGAAGAGAGGGCTTTTATTATAATGGATTACTCACTGTAGAATCTGTTCTAGAGCTGGGAGATAGCTCAGAGGTATAAGTGCCTACCTGCAAGTGCAAGGTCCGGAGTTCGGTCCCCAGTACTGTAAAAAAAAGAAAGAGAAGAAACTTTGTTCTTACTAGGTTGAAAAAAACACATGTGCTTCTCTTCTGTGGCCCATCCCCCAGAGGCTGTTGGGTCAGTTGAGTCCTCATCGTCCAGCTCCTGCACCCATACTGGTTTGCCCCATGATGTGTACCCTTACTGGCTTGTCTCAGTGCTCAGGGCACACTCCCCCTGGAGCCATACTTTTTCTATGAAGCAACAACAAATCCCCTCTTTTAATTAATAATTTAGCTACTGTCTTCTCTTTTGAAGCCTGTGTACAGTCTCACCTCTACTCCAGGGTTCCAGTCACTTATTTCTTTTGGAAATGCATCTTGCTTTCCCTAGTAGAAATTGAGGTTATTCTATTTTTATTCATCTCTTTTCTTCTAAAATTATTGTAGCTAATAGTGTTATAGCATTTGAATGAAATATAATACAATGTCAATATTAATAAATATTTCCAAACCATGAAGATTAATTTACGTAGATAATACAACAAAATTCTAGTGCTCTCACCTTTGACCTGAGGGTGTTTGAATTTTGAACTTGAATTTTGACGATGAGGACTCAACTGACCCTAATTTGCTTCCTTTTGCAAGTTGGGTACAGGTCTTCTATTCCTGCTCTCTCCCTTCTTCCCTTCATTGTCAGCCAGCCCTAGACAAAAGCTGGGAGGAAATAGGGTTTGTTTTCCACATCCTCTGCCACCTTCTTGAGCCCTGCTTCCCTGGTTTTTCAGTTCCTTCCAGGGAAGCTCCTCTGCCCTTCCCCTTACCAACTTCACAGCAGCATCTTTGGGCCTGCCCTATCTTGCAGCAATGCCCTGACCCTTTCCTGGAGCATGCTTTTATCTTGCTCTTTGTTCCTGAAACCCCTCACTCTTTATTACTGTAATCCTCAGTTGTCAGATATTCTTCATTTCCAGCACTGAGAATTTCAGCCTCTTTGGTGCAATCATTTATGAGTGTCTGCTAATCACGTTTGATTGTTCTTCCCTCTGTGCTCACCTGGGTGCGCAGGTGAGTGGCCAGAAGCCACATGGCATCTGCAGCTGGGAAAGCTACCGATATATCTATCCAAGAGGCAGGAGGACCAGACTGGCAATGCCTGACTCGCTTTAAAAACTCCTTAACAGAATTGTCTCATCTTTCACTTTTCCCTGGGGGCTACCTGGTGCATTATTGAATGTATTAGCTTGCTTATTCCTGTTCCTTCTGAACCTGCTTATTCCAAATGCAGCTGTTCCTGTCACTGCCGCTTTTATGTTCTGAATAGGATTTTAGCATTCAGGCAGATCACTAATCTGTGTTTATTATTTCCTATTTCTTTCCTGAAAATTCAGGACACATTTTTTAGATAGTAGATTTCTGCTAAGATAATATTATTACTTTACATGTGAATTTTGTTCAAAATTTCAGAATTTTTAAATTTAATTAGATTATATCCTCCACCCCACTCCCCAAATTCCTACAGTGTAGGGCTTATTGAAAAACTATTTTTGAGGATGAATCTGCAGCCTAGAAACTTTCAAGTGTCCTGGTGTCACAGACCTACTTAGCACTCTTCTGATTCCTAGGTTCAGAACTGCGAGGAAGCAGGAGGGGAGCCAGCTTTGTCTCTTGAGTCCCTGGTTTCTTTTCTTCTTCCCTTCCACTGCAACCCACAAATACAAATGTCTTTGTTTCATTTTCCCCTGTGCTACATAATCATGGTAGAGGGGATCACTACATAATCATGAAGTTATGTAACTGTGATGATCAATTTATATACTCCTGCTAAATTTTCTCTGATTTTAGCTTGCAAGAAAATTGAAATAGGCTGTGTTCCACAAAAGAACCATATCTTTCATGTTATGATTGTCTGAGCACTGTGTCTGGAGCTATTTTTTTCAGTGAACATATCCAAATAAATTGTATTTGACTAAGATTTTAGGAAACTCAGGTGAATTTTTTTTACTTTCAGAAATACTTGTTTTCAGTGTCATCTTTTAAAATATATAAATTAAAATTGACAATATGTAGTATATTAATTATTGTAACTATCCTACTGTGTTTTGAAACTGTCTCTATGCTGTTTCTTTCTCAAACTAATATAAAAAATAAAATGAAAATAAGTTAAAATAAATAAATAAAATATAAATTGGGGTATATAAAACGTTGTCACTCTGCTGAGGTGAACTGCAAGGAAGCAGGAGGGGAGCCAGCTTTGTGTCTTGAGTCCCTGGTTTCTTTGCTTCTTCCCTTCCACTGCAACCCACAAATACAAATGTCTTTGTTTCATTTTCCCCTGTGCTACATAATCATGGTAGAGGGGGCTCCAAACACTAGCATGAATGTGCCTTGTCTTATTTTCTCAATTTCTTACCTTTTAGTCTGACTTTACCTAAGAAATGTTTTTCTCTTTGCCCTTTCTTAAGTCCAAGTGATCTTCTCCCTGAGAGTCCACATCTAAGTTCTGTTTTTGGCTGTTTACACTGTAAAAACATGAAATTAACCCATCAGGTAAATTTCGCATTCCTTCTTCCAGGGCAGATTGATGTAAATTGAATAGCACATAGTTAGCCAGAGCATTGTGCATCTTCTAACATCTGGAAATTTATGATTTTTTACTCACTTAAGTATTATAAGGTTTTTTTTTTATTTTCCTGCTTATACTATGATATTTTTAGAGCTTAGCTTTTATATACATTACTACCTAATTTATTGTTTCTTTTTTTAAAATTTTATTTATTTATGTGGGGGGGGCAGCTCAGCCCACCAGGGGGCGGGGCTGGCTGGCATGTGGTGCTGGGGGATTGAACCGTGGTCCCTGTGCTTTGCTCAGCTTGTTCTAAGTAGGTGCTTTAGGCCACTGAGCCATCTCACCAGTCCCTATTGTTTCTTTTAAAATTTTTATTTCACAGTTCTTCCACCTCAGACTTCAACTTATTTCCATTAAAGTAAAATATTATATATATTTACTATTAAACTATGAATCACCAATATTTATTAATTGCTTATTAATGCATTGTAAAGATCAATTAAATATAATTAAATATGCTGTTAGTCTTCTTCTACTGCTATAACAGAATATTGTGGACTGGGACTTTAGAAACAGCAGAAGTTTACTTGGCTCATGGTTCTGGATGCTGGAAAGTCCAAGGCCATGATGTCAGCATTTGGCCTGTATCATAACTGAATGGCAAATAAGCATGGACAAGACAGAAAGAGGAAAGTGGGCTGAATTCATCCTTTCTAAGAGGAGCTCACACTCTTGATAACTAACCCACTTCTGCAGTAATGGCATTGATCTGTCTTCATGAGAGCAGATTCTTCATGGCCTAATTACCTTTTAAAGGCTCTAATTCTTTTTTTTTCATTTTTTCAATCAAATTTTATTGGTACATTTCAGGTATGTGTAATGATGACATTCATCATAGAGAATTTCTACCAGTACATGACATAACTTGATTCATTTTCACCATTCTCTTACCTCCCCTTCAACCCTTCCTCCTCTCTCCATTTACAAAAAAAGGTTTGCTTCTACTTTTTCCTTCTTTTCTCACTTTTTTTTATACTCTTCCCCTCTCCCCTGCCTTGGTCCCTTCACCATTTGAACATTTTTTTCCATAATTTTATTTAGAAACAAGTAACAATGAGACAGTTTCAAACCAAACTGGTAGGACAGTTTCAATAATTAACACATTGCATACATTCTTCCTAGTGGTTAATTGCTGTATAAGATGCGGACATGAGAAAATATGGAACGTGTCGTGAATTTGCGTGTCATCCTTGTACAGGGACCGTGCTAATCTTCTCTGTATCATTCCAATTTTTAGTATATGTGCTGCCAAAGCGAGCATATCACAAATGCTACATTCTTATTCTTCTTTTTCTTTTTGTCTAATTCTTCATATTGCTACAATGGCAACTAAATTTCAACATGTTTTGGGGGGGGTCATTTAAACCATTGGGGCAGAGTTGTTTATTTCTTAAAGAAATATAAAATAGATTAGAATAAAATAGCAATATATCTTTGATAGTAAGAGTATTTGGTGACACTTGTTTCAGTTACTATATATATATTTTTTTATATACTTATGCATATATAAAGTTGTATTTTGTGTCACAGTGTAACTTTTTAATGTAGGTGGCAATGAGAAGAGGTTTAAAAGTCATAAGCATTTAGAACTATAGAAATATTCTTGTGACTCACTGGCTTAAGAACTTTATGATTTTCTTGATGTGAACCCCAAAACTCCTATGAGGATAGTTAAGCACTAAATATGTATAACAGGGTAGATATGCAAACAGTATTATGGAAAACATATGCTAGACAAGTTTAAAAGATAAAATCAAAGAGGCATCTAAATGATACTGGATTTTAAGGCTTAAAACTGATCCTTGGATGCCATGTGAGTTCCAATCTCTTTGTTCATTTCTTTACGGATAACAACTATCTGCCTAGAGATGGTCACAGAGACCTCTGTGCTTGGACCCTACGTGGCGGCCACCAAAGCAACTTCTAGTGAAGATTCACACTGGGAAGGCAGTGATGCCACTTCCCCACTGTCCCTAGTCAGGCTCCCTGGCATTTTATAAAATCTCCAGGGACCAGCTGATATAGAGGATAAGTGAGCTCCCTGAGAGCAAGGGCCTGGCCTTGGTCTTTCACTCCTGTCTAGTGTTGGGAAAGTCTCTCCCAAGACCCTCCACTCATCCAGTTGAGAGGGTTCGTGAATAAGTTCTTCTCCTCTCCCCAACCAATTCTTTCACACAAGTTGCCTCCATAGCTTTACTTTGACTTTTATAGGTCTTATACTTAATTATTGACAATTTATTTGTTGGGTGATATAGCTTTGTTCCTTTCCCAAAACTGCCTTTCTCAGATCTCTGTCCATAGCTGAATCTCTCTCCCTCAAGCATTCCTCTTTTTAAAAGTTATTTTCTGTACCTTTTTTTTTTTTTAGCTCTTGCCCCTCCAAAAGTTGTCAAAAACCGTTTTATGGTACTCAGCTTAAAAATGTCTCTGACATGAAAGAAGAGTCATGCTTTTTTCTTGAAGGTAATGTGTTGGTTGAAATGTTGATGCCTTCTCTGAAGAGACCTACTGCATTGCGGAATGTACAAAGTGCTTCCATTTAGCTTAATGTAAAAGGGTAAGCTGGAGCTAAGGTGGAGCATTTCTGGGATCCCTCAGAACTATGTTTTGATTATAGAATATCATCAACTAACAAACTAAATGACTTCCTCACTTAATGGAAGTGTTTTGTCACTTAGAAAGCAACAACTGGCCACTGAGTATAACCGGAAGCAAGTTCTTCGACACTGCTTTGCAGAATGGCAGCGTTGGTGTGGTGCACAGGCCCTAATGAGAGAACTGGCTCTAGCAAAGCAGGAAACCAGGAGGAAAATGGATGAGCTGCTGAAGGCAGCATCCCTAGGCAGACTCAGTACGCCTGCATCGTCGGGCATCCGTCTGCTCGAGACACCAGCCACAGAGGTCTTACCAGTAAGAGATGGAGAAGTATGTTGTTCTTTCCTTTATTTGGTCTTCCTGTTTACTACAGGCTTGCACTTGAGCTCTGCACTTTTCCAGCCTGGGCATGTCAGCTGTGGTCAGATTGCCTTCCCAGCTAGCCAGAGGTTAAGCCTGCTACCAAGCACAGTCAGTATTTCTTTCAGTCAGTATTTCTTCTCTTGAATTGAATCTTTTTTAGTAATCACATGTCAAGTTTGGGAGAATTAGAAGTTGACAAAGGCACAGTATCAAAAGGGAATTTATAACATCTGAATGAAAGACTGCTTTAGGAAGAGGTAGAGCACTGTTTACAACTCTTTTTTGGAACGAAGGATTGAACTCAGGATGTAAGGCTTGCCAGGCAGGCGCTTATGCCACTGAGATATCTCTCTAGCCCTTCCATTCTCTTATTTGATCTTCACACATTTCCTTTATATGAGTTTGTGACTTGTAAGAAGAGAATTTAACTTTATTTTTATAATAAGAAACTGTATGTGATATTGTAGCAGTTTGGTAGAAGAAAATCAGAGAGAGAAAGGAAAACAATCTGTAGTTCCATCACCATGTAATAATGTGGATTCTAGCTGTCACGCCTTCTCTAATCACCCATATATCTGTACATTGGTCTTTGTTAATATTTTATTAGTGCTTCAATTTCCTTCTGCCAGGTCATTGAAGAATTCTAGTTTGCCATAATTCAGGAAACAAGCCTATTTGTTTTTGCTGTAATACTAATGTAATTATTTTATTTCTCTAAAAATAATTTTTGCAATTTTAAAATATTAGAATATAAATGAAGTATGTATTATTATATATGATTCAGCAATAATAGTTCTCAACTGAAAATATACCTCAGAATATACCTACTAATTGTACCTGAGTAATTTTGCTTGCAATCTTACTGGCTGACCATGGTTTTCTCTCACCTCATACCCACCTTGTGAGTTCCCATGTTTCCCTCGTTAGACCCCCTCACCTTGTAGTTTTGCTCTATAAAATCCCTAGAAGAGGCAGAGTCTTTGGGAACCCAATCAGGTCCCCTTCTATCCCTCTATTGGACAGAAACTTCCTTTCTTTTAAAAATACCAGGGATCAAACCTGGGTCCTTGCGCTTGCCAGGCAGGCTCTTAGACCACCAAGGTATCTCCCTAGCCTGAGTGCCACTATTTTTAACAGTGCTTCAGTAATATCTTGGTAGCTGAATCTTTGCACATATACGTAATTCTTTTACTTAGGATAAATATTTGAAAACAGAATGTATGTTTTGTCTTATTGCTTCATTTTTTGCATTTCTTTGATTACTAAATGAGGTCAAACATTTTTATAATGGATATTAAGTACACACACACACATATATATATATGGATGTAGAATATACAAAAATGGTGACTTGTGTCTTCCTACGCTTGGTCCAGTCTTTTCTTTCACTACATTTGTGTCAGTTACTCTTCTCGCGTTGCTGGTACAAATACCCAACATTCAAAACTAAGCAAGGAAAAGTTTATTTAGCTCACAGTTACTGGAGGTTTCCTTCCATACTCAGCTGGCCCCAAGGCAGAGAGGTGCATGGCAGAGAACAACCTTTCATGGTGGAGGCAAAGAGGAGAGAGAAAAAAGGGAGGAGTAGCAGCAACAGTGGCTACAGAGAACAAGTTCATCTCCTTTAAGTTGGCTCTCTGCCGCAGGCTGGGAGTAATACTCACACCCATAATCCCAATGGATCATGAGTTAATCACAGACTCTAGAAGTCCGCCCCATGACTGCATGAGGCTTTGGGGGGACAACTGGACACAAACCATAACAACATTCTTTTTTATTTATAGGAGCTCTTTATATTTTTAAGGCTGTTGATGCTTTTATTAATACATATATTGCAAATATTTTCCCATTTTGTCATTTGTCTTATTTGTTTAGGTATAATGTTTGGTACTATAAGCAGTTACTAATTTTCATGCAGTCAGTTCTGTAAGATTTTTCTTTCCTTGTTGTACCTGTTGTGGTCAGAGAGGCTTTTGGAGAACTCTCCCTTCCCCCTTCACCTTCATCCTGCTCATAATGCTGTGAAGTACTTAGCACAGATGTATGGGAAAGAACTGTACACTGGCGGTTCCCACCTTCACTTTTAATCCTAATTACCACTAGTAAAAAGGCTGGTTTTAGTTTAAGCTTGATCTCCCAGTGAAAGAGGATCATGTGGATGATTATTGGTACTCATGTAATGTTTTGATCCCTACCTTTAGGGTGGCAGTTTATCTACCTTTATGTCAGATAATTTTGTCCCCATTGAGATGCAGGTGAGACTTACATCTTAGGAAATAGCTAAATGGAACCTTCTTCCTTACAAAGTTCCACTGCTATTATCTTAAGTGGAAAAAATACGCAGAAAATATCTTTTAACCTATGAAAAATAGAAAACTGTCTCTATATAGACATATATGTATACTTATATATAATTTAGAAAATGTCTCTATATATAAATATTTAAGAAAAAAGACAAGAAAAACTTAAGACTTAAACTTAAGGGAAAAAATCTAGAAATCTTTGAAATCAAAGAGATTTTATGAAAAAGTAATATTGTAAAAAAAAAATAAAAAAAAACATATAGCAAGTGAAAATAGAGTATTACAATACTCAGTAGGTTACTAAGTAAATTACATCTTTTCCAGAATGTAGAATAGAACATTAAAAGTGAAAATATGAAATTTCTAGTTAGATGCTTATTAATTATGCAATCATAGGACTTCATGTACCAAGAACACACATACTGTTTCTTGAAATTTTAAAAAATTATCAGTTAGCTAATAGGTGATTTTCCCTAATTAGGCCAGGCTGTTCATTCCTTTTCTGTTAAGTACGATTTGTACCATTAAGCTTTTCTTTTCTGCTCTTATTTTTACCTTTAAAAGTTACCATAATCCAGAAGAGATCTGATTGCTGTACTGAAGGCTTTTACAAAGTCTTGCTGTGCTAATAACATGTCATTACCACAGAATTTAAAAGAGCCGAAGACATATACCCTGCTTGATGCTAAATTACATAAGCAATAAATGTCCATTGACATTTCTGAAATAA